AGAAGGATGAGATTCACTTCGTTCCATTGACCTGGTTAGCAAACCACTTTGGAACTCCTAAGCTATACACACGTTTTTCAACTAAATTCTGCAGATTAATTCCAATTTCGAAAACTGTTTGAATTTGTGTCAGTTCACTATCCACTACTCATTTATTGATGCATTCATTATTATTCATTTCCTGCTTAGACTGTATCTTCAACCGATTTCACTAATCAACCATACAATCACATGCTTGAGTGCTAGTAAATTGAAGACTGTAGGCTGTAATAGCCGGATCTTAGGTTATTTGTACTAAGTCAGGTGTCGATGTCCTCTCGCGGAATCAAAATGAAGACACACTTAGGTGAAATTTGGTGTGTTACTACACCTAACTATTCCGGATCGTGATTGACTAATTAGAGTAGTGTGTTGGATTTATCGGTTGGTCACTGGAGAGTGTCGACTGTCATGTGTCTAGTTGTAAGTGCTGATGCTGACTCAATTCCTCACAGTCACATTTTCAATTCGATCAGTAAGCATAGTTGGACAATTTGAATAATTTCTACCCGTTTGAAGATGATTGTGAGAAAGCTGAAAACCATGGGTCTGTGCTGACTGGGGCTCACCACCACCAAATTCCAACAGGCGATCAGTTGAGAAGTCGAAGGTATCAGAGGTGACCTGTATTGCACCAGAAATATCTGAGTGACACCGGTTCTCTCATTCGTTTATGAGATATCAAATCTGTGATGACTACACTAAGGTGAATATCTCCTTTGACAACATATATATGATGACGGAGTGTCACCGGCTTGTTGGCTCGTCCAACTTGACAAGGAGGCGCATCGAGAATATGACACTATGACCAACAACTGATAACTGGAAAATACATCACACACAAACACTGTGAGACACTCAGACACAAAGTTCACACTGGTATAAGCGAAGACCAGAACGACATCATCAACAACAACAACAAAGAGAACTAATCGCTTGAAATCACAAGAATCTGCACATATTCAAGAAACTTTAGACGTACATGAACGAGTCATATCTGTTCAATCAGCTTATCATGTGATGAGTACATGCATAAACCACGACATCATGGATAACAAACAAGCGTGTGTGTCCAAACACCTCCCCTGTTTTATTAGTTCTCGATTGGATGACCACTGGGGGAGACGTTGTAGGTCCGCCCACTCTCTGTCGCTAATAATGATAATAATATCCTCCGCGGCTGAAGAAACGCCTTTTCGACGACTCCCATTGAACGGGAGACCTAGATGCACACCTTCCAACTGATTAATAACAGCAGTCTCACATTGAAATCCCCATCAACGTCATTCAGTAAGAGTCATATGGAGGGAGACTGACACGAGATTTCTTTACTAATAAATCGAAGTGGTAGAAATAGTTTTGTGCAATGTGACGATTTGTGGTCTATTCAAGTGAAGACTAACACTTCCCAGTTCCACTTGTTCTTCCAATGTTCATGATGATCCTGTTGTATTCATATGTTTTGCCATTTGAATTGTGACACAAATGTAGTCATTGATCTTTTATTATACATCGTGTGATTACTTACATGCATGGTGTATTTCCTGTCGACGAATTTGGTAATTCTGAGTGATTGGTGTTAATGTGAGACAGTGGTTATCTGAAGAGCACAGGTGTGATGTATTTGGTGAGTGTATTTCGGCTGGTCTGATCACACATCCACTTGTCAATTCAAAGAAAATAAACAAGGTATTAAGTGACATAAGCGTGAGGATACAACACGTATCAGTAGTCTTAGTAATATCATCAGCTGAAATCGCCAATGTTGACTAGATGTAATATCAAACTGGCCACATAATGGACGAATAATTTCAGAGATGACAATCGCCGTAGCCTACTTCACTGTCCTCCTGATGGTTTCATATGTAGAATGCTCAACAGACACGAAAGGCGTCTGTCGTTGGATGTCAATCAACGAGCGATGAACCTCTTTTCCTCGTTTGGCCTATAGGAAGCTCGGTAAAGCTGTAATCTTGTGAGAGGGGCTTGTAACTTCAGGTTGTACGAAGTGATCAACACCACCGCTACTGAAACATTAAAGCTCAAGCTTAGACCATAATGTTCCACTCAGAACGCAACGCAACAATATCGTAATAATATTAATAATAATGATAAAAATAATAATAATAGCGATGATGAAATGACACTTTTCGTATGACAGCTTGAAAGCTGTTTTGATAGGGATCTGATGATTCAAGCTGATGGTCTCTCATCTGCACTCCTCGAAGTATGGTAATCAAATTGTTTTTCAGAACATTATCATCACTCCTCCGTATGTGCGTTAGTACGTCCACACGTAGACACGCATACACAAACATGTAGACTGGCATATAATATGGAATGTGACTTAGTCAATTGTGAGAGGTTGAACGTTTCATAGAACTTCACTATTTGCATCACAGTGACTTCGGATTAAATATATTTTGTATTTTCTTCAAATTTAGTTTTCAGAAATTGAAGTGCATACTCGTCGATGAAATTGGTTGGGGACAGAGAATTCATGTGCCACAACGAATCGAGTGAGTTTTCAATGACCTCACGTTGCAACCTGAACATGCTGAATACTGTTTTTCATGGATCATAATTTGATACTCTTCAGTGGTTCACGATCGTTGTCTCACTAATCATCCAATGCATGAGACTAGTCGGTGGACGACTCAGCTACTCACTTGGTGGAATACAGCAGCCCGTGAATCGTAAATTCTGTCAATTCGGGATATACAGCCACTAACAACCAGTGTCATCCATGAGAGGACAAGGCTTGTTGCACCACACTGGTCACCACTTCATATTAGTGATTCAGAACACTCCCGCCACTCACAAATGCTCGAAATGCCCACGTCAATAACAGGAATCACGAAATGAATGTGCGGACCAAATATTTCCGGGAGTATTGAATATAAGAAACGTCTATTTACATATTAGACACATCAATTCGACAACATCCAGATGGATAAACACGAACCTGATGAATGGAAGCTCATTGCATGCAACAGCGAACATCACTTGTGAAGTAATCCAACTACTCTCGTTCGCTGTCTCTGCACCGATATCCATGTCTTCCTGATAGCTATCTTACCAACCAACATATTGGATTGTTTTAACTTGTGCAAGTCGACTGAATGACTGATTGTGATGATGTGTAGTTTATGGCGTTGATGTTGCACGTACATCGCATCGAGTTGAGACTGTGAATGTCAGTAATTACTTGTAGTGATCTCTACGTAAGCAGTATTCGAGGAATATGTGATTGTCACACACACACACACACACACACACAGGTATGTGGTTGGATATGTGAATGAGGAGTGACAGACAGACATCGTGCATACAGAAAAGTGATAACCATCAAACAGTAACTTTATTCACCATATAACCGTCCCGCAAAGATATGCAAGACGGCTTGCAAAAATTGTACCGCTAGTTCCACAACTCTCGCGCTGGTTCACCTTATGACCTGTAATAAAATCGTCTACCATACCACAAATAAACACTTTGCAAAATTACCGCAAATTTCAATTCCAGTGTGGACACTGACATTCTCAAGATCATATTCATTCGAAATGCTGTATTTCGTCACACTTGTGTCGACAAGATATTTCCTAATCTGACATATTTCGAAATACACACACACAATCATTATACTACTTAAATGCGTGATATGAGCGACAATGCACTCATTCAATGAAAGTCATCATTCGTTCATTCATTCATTCATCAAGCAGAACCCGTGATTGACTTAGTTTAGTTGATACACGGCTCATTACTCACACGCACACACCCACTCACAGGAACACACACATACACGCTCAGACACACTCACGACTATACTGTCACCTACACACACACACACACGCACACGCACGCAGGCACAGATTGCTCACACTGTTTCCACTCACGAATGGGATGAATTCACCATACTTATGGTACGTCGGTGGCATAGCGGTTAGGACGCTCGCCGACCATGCACATGGTCCGGGGTACGATCCCCGGCCGCCAACGCACTCCTTTACCTCGCTAAGCCAGAAATAATGCTGGTAAAGAGGAAAGGTTGGGCCTGAGGCAGGCTAGCAACCTCATCCTGTAAAATAAACACTGCTACAGAAACTTCAAGTCACTAGCTTGAAGCTCTATGTTCCACCGGGGAACGTGAAGAAAAAAAATAAGAAGAAGAAAAAGAGGAAAAAAGAAGAGGGTGCAGACGATTACGATGAAGAAAACAAGGAAGAAAGTGAAGAGGGGGGAGGATGACGACGAAAAAGAAGAGAAAGAAAATGGCGACGACGAGGACGAATACCGTGAAGTGGATGACGGTGAAAAACAAGACGTAAAAGAGGGAGGAGTGAGTAGACAAAGGGGACGCGAAAAAAAACATTGAAAAAAGGCAAGACGGCGAAGAAGAATTAAGGAGACGGGATGAGGTGAAAAGAACTACGCGGAAGAGCAAGACAAAAGAGACTGAGAGGAGAAAAAAAAGACGAAGAAGAATGCAACGGTGAAGAAGGGGAAAAGATTTAGAAGACTCAGAAGCAGCAGAATGGTGACGAAGAAGAAGACACGGAAGAGAAAGAACCGAAGAGTTTGAAGTGAAACAGTGTGAAGTAGAAGCAAAGGATGAAGAGGATGGCGCTAACGAGGAAAGAAGATATGGCAGAAGAAAAAGATGGAGAAGTATAAGGGAAACAGGACAGGGAAGAAACACAGGACAAAGGAGGATAGAAAGGAATCGCAAGACAAGGAAAAGGTGAAGATGGAGACAGTGATGAAGAAGACAATCAAAAAGAGAAAACGCAGCACAAGAAGAAATAGAAGGATCACTTTGCAATCATTAAATTCATCTGTCTAGTGTATAATTCCTCCGAAAAAGAACTCAAAACAAATTATACAACCCACATATATTCCGATTATACAAATAATATATATATCTTTATAAAATAAAAAAGACTTGTACGATTAGAAAGACAGAATATGTTCCTGTTTGAACATTATTTTTTGCTTCTCGAAAATACACAAATTACAATTTTAAAGTATTTCTTAGTGTTCAATTTTGAAAAATAATTCCCTCAACCATGAGGGGGGGCGTGGTAGCTTTATATAAGAAAACTGAGACCATATCCATAGTGTAATTGTATTATTCAACATATTACCAAGATGTGCAGAATAAATAACCATTATCATTCACTTTCATTCGAATTTATGTTCCGGTTAACTCTGTAATGGAAGAAATTGAAAATATTGATTACTGGTGCTCAATGTTTCATTTCAAAAGACATAAATATTACTAGTAGTGAATATTTACATTTTCGATAAATTGTTCTTCGTCAAATTCTACACTAATAGAACCATAACAATTAAAGAATTATTGTTATTGACAACTTGAACAAGGCAAGAACGACAAATGAATAACAGGGTAATATGAACAAAACTTAGCGTAAACGACTTCAAGATGTCGTCTAGATTTTCTTCGTTGTTGACGATAATAAAAGTGTTGTTGACGTATCTCTTATAGATTTCGAAGGTATCGATCATTTTATTCAGGCATGTGTTTTCGAGTTTTGCCATGAAGAAATCTGCAAGCAATGGACCTAGCGGTGAGCCCATAGCTATACCATCCTTTTTGCGATATATTTCGTTGTTGAAAGAGAATTGAACATTCAGGGTACACCTCAGTAGGAGTTCTTTAAGATGCTCGGTGGGTATACCGATGTTTGTTCCTTTGGAGTGAATAAATTCGCATATATAGCATATTGTTTCAGTCAGTGGAACATTTGTGAATAGTGATGTGACATCTAATGATATCATGGTCTTGTTGGATACGTTGATGTTTTCGACTAAGTCGATAAAGTCGAATGAATCTCGAACTGTGTGGCAGGAAACTTGTTTTCTGATTGGTTCAAGTAGATCTGCTAACCATTGAGCTGTGCGGTGATAGGGTGAATTGGTCATGTCGAGGATCGGTCGAAGAGGGATACCCTTCTTGTGTACTTTCGGGAGTCCGTAAAGTCGTGGTATATTTGAGCCAGATGGTCTAAGGGATTCGAACGTTTCGTTGCTGATGAAAGATTCAGTCTTTAGCTTACGGAGGGTGTCCGTTAGCTTTTGTTCGGTCTGTTCAGTCATGTTTTTCTCGTTGATCGGTTTTGTGAATTTGCATTCATCGGATAGTATAGTCAGCATTTTTCTGATATAGTCCTTGCGATTCATGATTACGATTCCTCCGCCTGTAACAGGACGTAATATCATAATCTCTTCGTTTTTCATAAGTTCTTTCAGCTCCTTATAGTGCCTCTTCGTCAAGATGGACCTTCCACTGGGTTTGGTATTTATAAACTTGTGAGTAAGGTTGTGGTGAGAACTGGCTGCTAGCCAAAATTGGTAGACAGTAATTTACGTCAATGTTAACGTCCTCAATATTGGTCGTGAGAAAAATAAGAACAAAGGCTGATTCAACAACCAATCACAGCAGACTTTGTTTCAGTAGGCGGATAAAATTTGCAAATAGATAATCTGAACTTCAATAAACCGCCACAAAGAGATGAAAGATTAACACGTTCAGCGAGAATCCACCAATCAGAAGACTGTGTTTGTTTGCTTACAACAATCTATAATAATGCACATGAAAATATATAAATATGTTTTGATTTCCTTAATAAATGATCTGTTGCCTGACGCTTGTCTTCTGTTGTTACAAGGTGATTGATGTGTACAGTAGAATTTCTCTAGGTAGTAATGTACAGTAGTCTTGTCGTAGTTTGGGCTTCACGAGAGTACGCACCTACAGGAGGGTTGGAAACCAGCACCTTATGGTTACAAGTTATAGTTGTACATGATTCTATCTTCTACCAATTCATGATTTTAACACGACCACCAGTAAATATCATTGTTGGCGAGATTTTGTTCTCATAACTGACCTGGTGGTCCCCACTAGTATCTCACTTGAACTCTAGGCGAATTCCTCCAGTCAGTTGCAAGCATCAGATTGATTTTCAAGAGTTACTTTGTTGAGGTTTAACTTTTTTTTAAAAGTTTGATTACAGACTAACATCAGTTAGTGAACCATTGAAAACCAGGAGATAAGGGCGCGAATGCATGAGGAAGTCCAAAAATTACATAACGTTGTTTTGTTATTATTATAGTCAGCAAGATAGTGTAATGTTCACCGTTGTCTGTTTCTGTTTGCACATAAATTTGATTTTAACCGTTTGTTGACGATTGCCTCAACCAAACTCCGAAAGGTAGATTTATTTCGTCTGCTGATTGTTCACAATATGACCAGTGTCCAATAAGTGATGTGTAATCGCAGTGTTTATGCGTCGATGGCATAGCGGTTATGACGCTCGCCGACCAAGCACGTGGTCCGGGGTTCGATCTCCGGCCAACCCACTCCTTTGCCTCGTCAAGCTAGTAATATGACTGGTAAAGAGGGAAGGTTAGACCTGAGGCTAGCAACCCCATCCTGTAAAAAACCAAACACCACTGCTACTGAAACTTCAAGCCTCCAGCTTGAAGCCTTATGTTCCACTGGGGAACGTGAAGGAAGAAAAAAAATTAAACACTATTCCGAACAATAATGATCATACACGATGTAAACTTGTTCAGAATAGTGTATGCATATATTGATTGATTTTGGTTTTTAAAATGAGCTCTGTGCAAGCATGTTAGAATTGTTTCTGTAGATATACTAAATAATGACTTTGGCCTGTAAGCAGCTGATGAGAATCCGATGAAATAAATGATGGTACCGTTTTACTCAGCAAAAACTGTTGTTCTTGCTTTATTTTCTGAATTTATGTGATATTCAGTCAGTTTAGTACTACATTATTATGCATTGTCTCCCTCTCTCTCTCTCCTACTGATGGTTTTGAAATGTAATCACTAATCAATACTATCGATTCATTGTAATTTAAAACAGCATTCATGTTTATAACAATAATCTTTTAACCATAACGGTCATGTGAATGTAGAACCTGTTGAGAAATTTATCGAAAAGAACATTATTATTTTAAGGGCACGCCACATAAATCTCCATGGATTCTGCACTTTGAAGTATTCGCTAAGTAGTGACAACGGAAAAATTCTTCTATGTTGGGCTTATGGTTTGTTTAGTCCAGATGAGCTAATATCGTTGTATATTATTTAGTTACTCGTGCTTTGAACTCGAATCTGCCAACCATCGGTTCATATATACATCTCTAGGATTTTCTATCTGAATGATTCTATATTCTTTAAAAAAATTATTGTCCTCGCCAGCAAATAGTATTCTTGAATCGTTATGGATGCAAAACTGTAGGTCTTGATGATGAAGTTACCCAAAATGTTAATATTCCCTGGTCAGTCTTTAGAGAAATAAACAAATTTTCATTTAAGAATTTAAACTACTTAAACAATAATGTCAGTAGCAGATGAATATCAACAAAAAATATCACAGAACTTACTTCATTCTCTTTCGATGATGGGTTAGGTTTATTGGCTGTAGTCGGTTGAATTACTTTCGGTAGAATTGGTGTCTCTGTTAGGCTTTTTCTTGCTAGCAGAGAATTGAAAAAGCTACTGAGTACAGCTTCCTTGTCTGATGATGCTGCAGCTGAACCAGGTTTCGACTGACTAGGTAGACTGGATTGGATTCCTTCACTTATTAACTGAAACGGAGTAATAATAATAATAATGATAATAATAATATGCACTGAATAAGAGCAAATGGGGAGCTATTACAATTAAGTGTATCTTGGTTCTTTAACTGATATCAATCCGTGTTGAAACTTGAAACAAATTGAATCCCCACAAATTATCTATTGAAAATTAATCCGCTCGGTAATGGTTAGACGAAATTCCCTGGAATTCTATTAGGAAGCCGCGACCATTCGGGTCCATCTGGTCGTGAGTGAGGATAAATACTCGAAATCAATCAAGTCCGTGCAAATTAGCTTTGGAAACAATGCTTAACTGCTTTACCTGATTTAATGTGACTGCACTGTAGAATTGAAACGGTAGGTTAGGGAACATTTATTCGCAAATTGGTACCTCTATATAGCGAAATTATATATACCTTTTCTTCAACGCACTATTTGCACAGATCTACGTGTTGTGGTACTTCTGGACTTCATGTTGTGTTTCTTTGTGTTTTTCTTTCACATCTCCCAAGTATCTCCGCAACTCTGTATCATTTGCTTTCTCTGACATTCCCTCTCTCTCTACTGATAAATTTTATCAGTGTAGCACTCGCGACAGTATGAATAAAAAATATCAAAATAGTAGTGACTTACTGATGACTCTCTTGATTGACCAGCACTTGTTACTGAACCACCGGGTGTTGTAGCGCCTAAAGAACTCGTTGCAGTTGGCGCAGGCATATTCGCTATCATTGTTAGCATTCTGTTTAAAAAATGCTGGTCATCTTCAACTGTTTGAATGATATTCACTTCTTCTGAAGACGTAGTAGACTCTGTAGCTTTAGAGGCTAAAATTATTAAAAGAAAAACAGAAGAAAAAGCAGTGGAAAGAATGTCGATCTCTTATCTAATTTCCTTTAAATATTTTAACGCGATACAAAATTTATCATTTCACTGTCCCTGAACAAGTTTTAAGCACTTCATGGCGAAACACAAGTTTCGACACAAAGTTATAAAGGAAACAATTTAATTCAAGTAGAAGACAATGAAATAATGGTGTCCTTGTATGATGTCACAGCATTATATACTACAATTAGTCCAAAACTAGCAACAGAAACTATGCAACAATTACTCTATAGTGATGAAAACATATAAACGCCGTTTTCAACTTGGATAGAACTCATACAATTATGCCTTACAACATACTTCCAGTTCAATACTCGAATATATGAACAAATAAAAGGGACACCAATGGGATCACCGCCCATATCAGGATTAATAGCTGAAGCCGTTATGCAAAGATTAGAATTAATAGCTCTACCTATAATTAAACCGAAAATCTGGACAGGTACGTTACGTTGATGATACATTTGCAATAATTAAGAGAAATGATTTAGAATATACCCATAAATTAATAAACAACATATTTGAAGACATCAAATTCACAAGAGAAGAAGAATTAGATAACAAAATCCCATTTTTAGATGTCTTAATCAGGAGAACCAACACAGGAGATCTAGAAACACAAATATATAGAAAATCAACGCACACACACAGATCGAATACTCAACTATACTAGCAGTAATCCAATTACTCACAAACAAAACTGTGTGCAGACATTGTTTAAAGAAGAGAGTTCAAACACATTGTAGCACTCCAGAGTTGAAAAGAATGGAGGAAAAGTACCTACATACGGTCTTCAAAAAGAATGGTTATCCACAAAATTTCATCAAGAAGTGTTTAAAGTCGAATCAAAACACCAACAAGAAACCATCATCAAAGACCACAAGAAAATTCATTCTACCATATATGAAAAATATCTCTGAAATAACAGCCAGAATACTGAAACCGTTTGATATAGATATAGCACACAAGCCAGTCAAATCGCTTAATTCGATATTATGCAAACCGAAAGATCCAACAGAAAAAGGAGATAAAATTAATACCATTTACAAAATAAATTGTATGGACTGTAACAAGCATTACATCGGCCAAAGTGGGCGTCCCCTTCGAATCAGAATCCAAGAACTTAAATCAGCCGTGAAAAGACACGATATGTATTTTTTTAGTGTCAATACATATTGACAATTATGGACATCAGTTTGATTGAGATAATGTCGAAATCTTAGACAGAGGAAACACCAAAAGTGTCAGGGAATTCCTAGAAGCCTGGTTGGTACTCAAACGAAAATGCAATTAACAAACACGTTAAAATAGACGAAATATACCAACTAATAAAAA